CTCGCGTTGTTGTGGCATATTTGGTCGAAGTGCAGAGTACCAGAGTTTGCTAAAGCTACAGTTTACAAGCAAAGCTGTGAAAGAGAAGCACAAATGTCATAAATCGCTGTAAGATGTACGGGGGTATCATGGGTGTCCGATGGTATCAGTGAGCTATGATTATGGCCGTGATAGGTCCATGGGGAAGATGCATGTATTCCTCAAACGGCACAAGAACCGCATCCTCTAAATTTCGAGGACAGTATGAAGCATCTGACTGAGGATCAGCGATAAATGTGTCAGATGGTTTGAGGCAAGCTCACCTTCTTGTCCAGAGTAGACACCTGATTAGACGAGTTTTTGTCAGTGATCGTGCCAAAGACGCGGAGGATATCCAGACAGACCTGAGGGGTCACACGTTTGCGGAGACTCTTTTTAAGAGCTTCTTCACGCCCTTTCTCGACGGTACCATTTTTCCGTATTGACTCGAGACGCAGCTGCGCCAGCCGGTCCCTAGTTGAATATTAGAAGCCGTGCTAAACTACTACTGAACCTGGAAACTCACTTGACGTGTTCCTGCAACTCTAAGACGGTGGTTCGTCGGCCTTCGTTACGTTCTAGGCACGTCAAGCAAAATTTTCTCAGCGAAATACCCTTACTGCACTGATGAAAAGCTTACGGGCCTCTAGATGTTCAATAACGACCTGTTCAAGGAACGCAGTCAACCGTAAGTCGACGAGAAGACTATGAAAGACGCACGCGCATCATCGTCCACTCATCAGACAAAGACGTCTGGTCATCCCTCGCGGAAGATAAATAAACCTGATGCCGAATCAGCGGCAGCTATCCCGGGGCGTGACCGTGCTCACCACCCAAGGATCTCCTAAATCGTATCCGCGGGGACTCTTGAGGAAGTACTTGTCATCATAGCTGTCGCCACGTTGCGGAGCATGATTCTGAGCTGCAATCTTTGAGGGCGGCCCGATCAAATCGGCGGGGTTGGCCCTACAATCCATGGATGATAGACGGGTGAAGTTCGTCCTGCGGACGCATCTGACAACCTGGTCGTATGCGGATGGGATTCCTAATGCGGTGGTTAGGATTGAGATGCCATGACATTGCCATTCAGACATACTAGACAGCGCCCGCGCGCATTTGCGCTTCCATCGAGAGGAGTCTAGGTCTGTAAAAATGAGTATACTTCCTAGCGATTGCAAAATCAAGATTCTCACCAAGCATAGTCTCCGAATGACATGTCTCAATGAATGCCTATTAACCACATACTTAACAGGGACTACGCTCTTAGCTCCATGGTACGTACAAGCAACTGGGCACCAGCCGGTACAGGATTCACTAACAGCTCTCTAAGCTCCTATTACACATCTAGTCGTCAGTATCACCTCTAAGTCTGAAGTGTGCTGCACGTACGTTGTCCGAAATAACACCCCGATACTTCTCATAGTAAGGGTGGTCGCAAGCAAGATCACAGGCGCGTCGAGTAGGTAACTTGCCCCCGTTCTTATCCTGTGGCCAGCCGGCGTGATTGCTTGTAAGGATGTCTGGTGCACTACATCACATGTTTGTCCTCGAGAGATGACGAGCGTAACATACTTTCGTCCAAACGATCTGCCTCCGTTCCAGTCTCGTTCAGAGTTTGACATCCATGGCCTAAGTCTAGAAAATGGTTCATCTCTCTGTGGAGAAACGTTACTAAGGGTGGTATCCTACATAAGAAGACGATGAGATCGTCTGGTTGCGCATTCTCCACGAGGCG